TCTGGTATTGTCTCACACATGAGCTTTTGGGGTTCACCACATCCAAACCATAACATTGTGTATTCTGGCTATTTAATCAGGAATGTTCTACCACTGCTTTCCTTTCATTATTGGGAATAAAAACAGAAAAAAACAAGCAAATTTTGATAACCAGGTACTTATTCTGAATATAATGGCCAAAGATGGTTTTCACATAATGAGCTATCTAGGCATTTAAATTTCTGAACTTGAATTTAGCAATAGATCAAAATATTAGTGGATTGCTTCCCGTCCTATTTCAAACTGGGTTATGGTATAACTTAGAGCAATGACTACATTGGTTTTGAAATGAATATTTCTTTTTGCTTTTCTTTCTTTTTTACAGAGCGGGACTATTTCACTGAAGTGTACATCTGTTGTGAAGACTGTGTGTACCAAAAAAATAAGAGCATCCATGATCTTTTCCGCGTAGGTGTTTTCCAATGGGCGCCTGGAGACATTTGAGCAACATGGTTTGCATTTTCCTGCCCCTTTCCAGATTGCCCTGCAGAGAGGCCACAACTCCACATCTGCACATGGGGTGGGGGGCAGCGAGGCCGCTGAGGGCAGGAGGAGTGGGCCAGCAGATGTATTCAATGGAGGCTTCCTGGGGAGAGGGCTCCCAGTTTTTTTGTTCTATCTGTAAAGAGACAGGACTTGGCTTCAGCCAATGCAGTAAGCTCTTGTGTGTCACAGATGAAGGTCACAGAGAATTTTCCAGGGTTGGAGCGAAACAGAAAAATAGGAAATGAAATTACAAGAGGATCTCACTTTCTTCTTTTCCTGCGAAGCCGGTCTTGAACTCAAGCATCACTGGGAGAGGTGCATGCAAGTTATTTTGTTACTCGTTTCATGGTTCAACCTCATACAACCTGGTTATTCTTGTGGGGTGGGGGCGCTGGTCTTTTCTCATTCTTCTCATTATTCTTCCTTATTGTCTCAGTGAGAGCCTCAGCCCTCTCCTTGCCCTTCCTTTATAATTATGACACCAAGTACAGGTTAATTAGAAATTGGAAATGAATCCAAATATCTATGCCTCTAGATAGTTTATTTTATTCTTCTAGAGGATGGAGGCGCAGAAGATACTTTGTCTTATTGAAAAGACTAAGTAATTCGCCTTTAAAATTTCAGGTTTCAGAAACATTCCATTTTAGAAATCTTTCATTGAACAATCTGCAGACTTCAGCAAAATGTACGCGGCTTTGCTTCCAGAACTTCCTTCCTTAAATTGAACTTTTGCCGGTGTGGCCTCTTTATTTTATTTTTTAAAGTTTATTTAAAGAGGCAGGACAACTCCCTGTATTCAAACGGTGACCCAAAGGACAGAAGATCTTTTTTACTTGCAAAAGGTGATCATAATTTTGGAAAAGAAGACACCAGGAAAACCAACCACCTGACCTCATTTGCATATGAAAAGACAACAGTGTAACTGGAACCGGCCTCCTTACGTGGGAGGGCGGAGAGGGGTCGGCCGGCCTGCCAGGTTTGGTCTTCTTACCTGGCCCTGGGGGCTTGCCCGCTCAGTGCTGCGCTGACCCCCGCTCTGCACCCCGCCGGCTGCCGGGCCCTCCTGCCCGCACCGCAGCTGCTTTCCCGGACCCGCTTCCTCCCCGGCAGCTGCGGGGCTCCAAGGCCAGGTCTGCTGGGCGCCCCCTCCTTTCGGGCCCTTTCACACCGCTTCGTGCGGGGCCTGTCATCTTGGCAGCGCAGAGTCCCCCGGAGGGCCCCGAGACAGTCCCTCTGCACCTCAACTCGCATAGAGGAAGGCTGGGCGTCGAGTTCCTTCGCCGGACAGGGCTCGCTCCAGAGCCTGGTCAGTCGGCGCGCCCGGGACCTGCCCGGCACCATTTGCCTCCAGCGCCACCACCTGGCCGGCGCCGGGACCACGTCCTCCCCGCGCGGAGGCGGGGACCCAGAGATGGAGGTTCGCCCCTCTCCAACGTGGTAAAGGACCATGACGGAGACTGTCGCTTACTAATGCAAGTAGTTCCCCTCTGAAAAAAGCACTAACACATTTCCTAGGCAAAAATTTGAGTTTAAAGAAACTAAAATGGGAATCATCCTGTCCCCTCCACGAAAAATCAGATCAGTTGTCTTTTTTATTAAGTGGGCTGGATCTGATGTGCTCTGGTCACATAAAATACCAAAGCAGGACCAGGTAGGAAATGCGCTTTTCTCACCCTTTTCCTCTTCCCTCACATTCTACCCATGGCCTCTGGGTCTCAAGTGAGAACGCCTTCGTGGCTGCTTGCTGGGTGGGGGTCACCCACCCCTCCCACCACATCCAGACCACCTGGCCTCCCAGCTTCTGATGGTCAGGTGTGAGCAGCGATGCTCCCGGCCCAGCGTCCAGAGGGTTCCAAAAAGTGCATGACGTCTCAGGCGTGGGCGCACACATATGCATGTGAGTGGCCACATGGGTGTGCGGGCACTCCTGGAAGCAGTCTCTTGGGGGCACTGAAAGAAAATATTAGGATTTGTCTGCCTTCTTCTTTTACCTAAAACTTCAGCGTTTCTATTTCTGTCATGAACATCACATTGTCAGAGCAGTTGTACATCATTTCCAACCAAGTCAGTGTTTTAGCAGGTGTGCGCAGTGTGGGTTACACAGTGGGGTGTGCCAAGGACATGGTGGGGGTGACGGTGACAGCTTCCCTTGAGCTGGGGAGGGATGGAGTGGGGGCCCGGCTCTTCCTCTTTCCCCTTTGGTGGTCCCCTAACCTAGGAGCCAGTCCTTTCTGCCCACACTCTGCTCACAGGCTGTACTTGTCCAGGGGGCAAGGGGTGCCGCCCCTCCCCCAGGCCACCCCGCTGACCCAGCTGGTGAAAGGAATAGCCCTGTGCTTTCCCCTGGCCAGGGGGGGCTGGGATTGGGACATGCATTGGGGTGTATGTTTTAGGAGCTTCAGTTATGATTCTTTTCAGTTCGCTGAAGTCTTACCAGTTGAAGTTTGTGGCAAAACCCGCCAGTCTAAAAGTGCATGAAACTGAGGTGTCTCAACGCAGTCCTAGCCGACATCGCAAGGCCCGGAACCCTCTGAATACCTCTCTTTTTAAAAGTGGGTGGGTATGGTGCTCTAGTTTGGATCCAATTGTCCCCCAGCTCTCCTATGTTGGAGGCTGGGCCTGCAGAGTTGGGAGGTGACGGAACCTCTGGGAGGTAGGGACTAGTAGGAAGAAGTTACCTTGGAAGGGCCACTGGGATGCCAGTCTCTTCCTCTCTTTCTCATTGTTTTAGGCATCATGGGATAAACAGGCCTCCTCTGCCTCTCACCTCCCCTGTCATGATGAACTCTGCCTACAGATATCCAAAGCAACTGGGCCAACTGACCATAGACTGAAACTTCTGAAACTGTGAGCCAAAATAAGCCTTTTCTTCTTATAAGTTGATTTTTTTAGAGTATTTTGTCATAGTAACATAAATCTAACTAACACAGATGATATTTGGTAGTGAGGCCCTTGAGGAGTGGTTAGGTAACAACAGTAGACCTTTCATGAATGGTATTAGTGCCTTTCTAAGAAGAGACCAGAGAGCTACCTAACTCTTTTTTTTTTTTTTAACCAGGGAGATGCAACAAGACATTGGGACTCCACAACCAGGAAGAGCACCCTCCCCTGACCCTGACTAGCAGGCGCCCTTCCCTTGGACTTCCAGCCTTTGGAAGCGTCAGAAATAAATTTCTGTTGTAAACAAGTCAGTCTATGGGACTTTCTTCGTGCAGCCCAAGTAAACAAACGTGTGGTCTGTCTTTGAATGTATGTTTTTCAAAGTGGATAGAGAAAACAAAATGAATGAGTCCAGTGGTAAGTTGCTTTTTAAAAAAAGAGATCATTTTTGATATATCTTTGGAAAAAGACACTGGGGCCTGTGAGCTCTAACAGACGTGGAAATGTTTTAACAAGCAGCCCTGGCTCTGGCATGCTGATATAATTCACTCTCTGAGTGACAGCTTTGACTAAAATCCTGAAGCCAGTGAAGGTCCTAGTGATGTGACCCAAACCACCGTAGAGGATAGAAATTCCGACTTGGTTGAAGATGAAGGCAAGAGGCAAAAACCTGAGTTTTCGGTTCACCCACGGCTTGCTGGCAGCTGTCAGATTTATTATTATTTTTATTTTATATTTAAAAACAGAGGCTTTCCTTGGAGCCCCTTGAGGCCAGGGCGTTCTATTGATGTTGGATCTGCTGTGCAGTGGATAGCAAATCCTTCATGCCACAGGTCATTTGGTGGCTGTGTGGGTGAGAGCGATCGTAACTTGACCATGGTTTGGAAATGCTCCCCAGGTTCCAGGAGGTGAAGTTTCTGAATCACTGAAGACATAGTATGCTGCTGGCTTTGCAGGAGAGCCTGTGGGTGGCCAGGGGCTGGAAGAGGTTCTGGGGGGTGCAGAGGGACGTCCCAGGCTGGGGTGTCTCTGCTGGCTGGTGGTCAGGTGGTGAGCATCCTCCCGTGTTGCCATCTCTGCCTGGTTTTGTCACTGATCTTGGGCAGGTCACCCAGCTGATCTGGGCCTTATTTTCTCATCTGTAAAATCAGGATTGGAGAATATTGAAGCGGGGAGGGCAACGCAGCAGAACCAATATTCTCCAGCAATGGAGTGCTGGGGCCTTATCCACCCATAGCTGGAGTGAACTTCAGCCAGACCCTTCAGAATCATCAGGCAGAAGCAGAATCAAACCCCTAATCAGCCGTATGCGTGCCCTCTGACTCAACTTTGGGCCAGTGAGGTCCTGGACATACAGAACAGAAAAGAATTGCAGCACAAGTTAGCAGAGGCACAGAGATTAGTTTAGGAAAGCAAGGAATACACGTTCAAGGACAGAAGTGGACCATTTCGAGAGCAAGGGATGCATTCTCAGGGTTCCTAATGCTGTTAAAGGAGACTTGGTGAGGGGTGGGGGTAGGTCTGTGGGGATGACATCCGTGTGGCGTCCCAGGATGGTTCCTGGGGGTCTGCCAATCTCAGGATCCTCAGGCTGACGTGGTCTTCATTATCTGATCCACAGGTAGCACTCGACAACTCCCTGACTGGTTTCTCAAGATACCGTCTCTCTCTCTGCTTAATCTCTTTGTTGGTGGGCTACTTAATAGTACACAGGGCAGATTTACAGATCTCCCAGAAATCTGGAGCGACAGGCCTGGGGAGCCTGGCCCCGGGAACGGCGGGCCTGGATAAGTACGTGGCACTTCTGAATCAAATCTTATTTCCTGTCCTTCCTTATGTCTCCTTTCACTTATTTTTAAAATCCCTTCTATCCTCCCTCACTGAGGACGGTCACAGGCCCTGAGTTCTAAGCGATCCACATGCAGCACATGCTCAGTAAAGTGGGAACTTTCATCACTGAAGTGGAAACACGGATCCAACACCTGGGGATGGGGACTGGGCACGATGGTGGCTGTTTGCACGGCCAGCGCCACTGGAGAGGAACCGGCAAGGGTAACTGGTACGAACTGATGTCAAAAGGGTGAGGGGTGGACTCTGGGCCACATAAGGCACAGAGCCACCGTAAGGACTCCTATCCTGAGTGATCGAGGAGTCACTGTGGTGTTGTGAACAAGCCTGGCTTGTTGGGGACAGTCTAGAAAATGGGCTGCGGCTGGTCAGTGGAGAAGCCGGAGGACCAGGCAGCAGGTGAAACCTAAGTCAAGGTCAGGGAGGCTGCGGCCTGAAGCAGCGTGGTGGGGATGCGCTGTATTTTGGGGTTCTGGTATATTTTAAAGGAAGTGTCAATTGCATCTGCTGCTGGATTGGATGTGGAAGGGAGAGGAAGGGAAGACTCAAGGTGGACTCCAAGGTTTCCATGAGCAACTGGTGGAACCGAGGTGCCATTTTTCAAGATGGTGTGGCTGGGGGTGAGGGGCGGTGATCGGCCGGACGCTCAGCCTAATGCTCCTGGTCCTGTGCTTCTGCAGCCAGTCGGTGCATGGAAGTGTGTCTTTCCCGAGCCCCTTTCCCAGGCTCCTGCTCTGCTTCCCACAGCTGATCTGAGCAAGGACATCAAAGGTGGAGATTCCAAGGGGTCAGGAGCTCCTCAGCACGATGTGGCCAGGCAGCTCCTCAGGCCCCTGGTACATTGAGGAGCCACAGAATAAACTCTATATGGCAGTTTACAGAGTTGTTGGGTGCATTGGGGACCTTGTAGGACCCTGGTGGTACTAGTGGCTTTGGGTTCCTCTGAAGTTGGGCTGGAGCAGGACTCTGTCCCTCCCAAACTGCTTTGCCTAAATCAGTTTTATTTTCCTTTGGTTTTTTTTTTTTTTAATCACAGATAGTTGACAGTTGGAATTATAAAATAAAAATACTTTTAAAACACACAAATGTATTAAAATGAACACTTATAAAAAATTAACTAGTGTCTTGTAGGATTGCACACTCCTAAGGTGGGTTAAAACATAGCTCAAACACCTTTTCTGTGGCCTTGCTTGGAATACAAAAGGTGACAGTGGATCCCACCTACGGGTGACTCAACTTTCCCAGACAACCAGACTTCAGTTAGGGTCAAACTGACGAGTAAGGGGAGTTGTCAATGTAAGTGAAATTACCGTGCAGCTGAGCTTCTTATCTAAAATGCTGGGGACCGGAAGTGTTTCAGATTTCAGATGTTTCAGATTTTGGAATATTTACAGGCACAACTAGACAGCTTGGAGAGGGGACCCAGGCTAAGCCTGAAATTCATATTTCTTTGGTATGAGTCCCACACACAGGCCCAAAGGTGATTTTATGCAGCATTTCTGTTGTTCCTGCATTTTGACTTTGGCCTGTTGTGTGGGGTGACGGGTAGAATCTCCACTCAGGTCATGGCAGGGCTCAAAGGGGTCAGAGTCAGCTTTTCAGATTAAGATGGATGTCCACAGCAGGGTGAGTTCCCAGTCTGTGAGGTTCAGTCTGAATAGATAAAAAAATGCTCTGAAGAACTCATAACAAAGAGGTTCCTGATCCCTGGATGTTAATCCAGGGAAAGAGACAACTTTGAGGTTAAATCTTGGTATTTAAAATGAAAATAATATTACAAGTTTGCACCAGCTTAAACCTCCCTTGTATTTTACTTCTAGGGATTATTGATTAAAAACTGTTATTGAAAATTATTATAGTGGCTGGGGCTGGGGGTCAGTGGCAGAGTGCTTGCCTAGCATGTGTGGGGAACTGGGTTCGATCCTCAGCACCACATATAAGTAAATAAAAAATAAAGGTACATCAACAACTAAAAAATATTTAAAAAAGAGAAAATTATTATAGATCAAACTAATATTTCCTTTACTTTTATAATAACATACTGCTCCTGAGAGCAACCATTTCTTTTCTGAGCACAGTTTAAATGAAGCTGATTTGTTTTGGAGGGGGTGAAAGGATCTGATCAACAAATTAGCACTTGCTGAACTAAAAAAAAACGGGTCCTTTTCACAGCTTCTGCTTGGGAAGCACCCCCCTGCTGGCTCTCCTCCCGCCTGGCTGCTCCTCAGCAAGGTTCAATCAGTTATCAGTTAAAATCCAACCCGCAGAAAACTACTCAAAGTTGATTTGGAATTGTCTTTGCAGTAAAAAAAAAAAAGGTCAGATGTTGGTGATTTATTATGCTTCACCTAACCTTTCAATCAGTTCTGGGGGCCAGTGCCTCCCACCAGCCCAACCCAGCAAGGAGCAGTGACCAGCCTGCAGGAGGGAAGGGCGTGCTTCGGAGCCAGGGCTGAGCTCCTCACCACAGACGGGCTGAGCTGTGGCAGAAAGAGCTTCCTGGCAAGTCTGGGCTGTGACCTTGGAGGAGCACTGCTGCAGGTGGATTCCTTCCTCCTCCCTCTTCATCTTCAGCTGCTTTTCAAAGTCCTCCTTTTGAGTCCTGGCCCCGTAGTCTGCAAGGGGGGCCATGCCATGACTTGTCTGGTGGGTGGACCTAATCTAGGGGGTGGGATCCGCTGTCATTGCACACCCCCACCGGTCACCCCACATCACGCAGAGTTGAGACGTACCACCCAGGGGCTTTTATACCACGTGGTTTGAGGGGCGTTATGGGGTGAATTCTGTCCACCAAGGAGGAATGCTGAAGTTCAAGCTCCTCCTGTGAATGTGGCCCTACATGGAGACGGGGTCTCTGCAGGCACCATCACACGAGGATGAGATCATGCTGGAGGAGGGTGGCTCTAAGCCCCATGACTGGGGTCCTTATAAAAAGAGGGACACTTCGACCTAGAGAGACGAGGATGCACAGGGTGACGTCCTTGGTGACAGAGGTCAGAGTGACCTGTGTGCAGACACTGGGCTGTTGGCGATGGCCAGCGGCCACCCCAGTCTGAGAGGAACAGGAGGCTCCCCCAGGACCTTCAGAGGGCGCAGACCTCCCACCCCTCCCTTCAGACTTCAGGCCCTCGGCCTCAGGAGAGCGGGAGGTGAAGCCCCCAGTGTCCTCTGCAAGGCGGTGCCAGGAGGCAGACCCAGGAGTGGTCCGGAGACTCCCCCCAGGAGGCCACTTGAGGGGAGCTGCCCGGCTGCTCCCCAGATCCTTCTCTCCGCACTCTTGGCCGGGCTCAGCCACAGCTGACAACTAGTGTTAAGAAGGCGGCTGGCCTGTCCACTCAGAGGGGGGCTACCAAGGGCACAGGGCGGAGGTCCACAGCAGGGACAACGGGAAATCTTTCCTCCTCCCTTTCTCCCTCCTCCCTCCCTCCGTCCCTTTCCTCCTTCCCTTTCTTCCTCCCTCCCCCTGCCCATTCCCCTATTCTTTCCTTTCTCCCTCCCTCCTTCTCCTTCTGCTCCTTCCTCCCCTTCTCTCCTTCCCTCCATTCCTTCTTCCTCCCTTTATCCCTCCCTCTCTCCCGCCCTCCTCCCTCTCTCCCTCCTCCCTCTCTCCTTCCCTCCATCCCTCCCTCTTTACCTTCCTCTCTTCCTCTGCCCATTCCCCTATTCATTCCTTTCTCCCTCCCTCCTTCCTTCCTTTTTCTTCCCTCCTTCTTTTCCTTCTCTCTCTCCCTTCTTCCTTTCTTCCCTTCCTCTCACCCACTCTCTTTCCCTTCCTCCCTTTCTTCCCTCCTTCTCTTCCTTCTTTCCTCTCTCCCTCCCTGCTTCCCTCCCTCCCTCCTTCCTTCCTTCCTCCCTCCCTTCCTTCTTCTCTCCCTCCCTCCTTCCCTTTCTCCTTCTCTTTCTCCTTCCTTCCCTCCCTCCCTCTCTCCTTCCCTCCCTCCCTCCCTCCTTCCCTCCCTCCCTCTCTCCCTCCCTCCCTCCCTCTCTTCTTCCCTCCCTCCCTCCTTCCCTTCCTCCCTCCCTCTCTCCCTCCCTCCCTCTCTCCCTCTCTCCCTCCCTCCCTCCCTCCCTTCCTCTCTCCCTCTCTCCTTCCCTCTCTCCCTGTCTCCATCCCTCCCTCCCTCTCTCCTTCCCTCTCTCCCTCCCTCCCTCTCTCCTCTCTCCCTCCCTCTCTCCTTCTCTCCCTCCCTCCCTAACACTTCCCCTCAGCATCTCCTCCTTCACCTGCCCTTCACCTGTCCAGGGCATTAGCAAGACAGACCTTGGGAAGCAGGAGGTGAGCTCCCAGTGGATCTCTGACCCTGCCGTCCATGACCCCTGAGCCTCAGGGGAGCAGGAAAGCACTCTGCCACCCTTTCTCCTTCCTCTTGGAACGCGGCTCTGTGACTTCATGACAGAACCTTCTGGCTGGGCTGGGTTAACTTTATGTTCCTTTCAACACTAAGTGAAAAGTGTGAAGAATGGCTGGGAATCCAGCCCAGCTGTGGGAATTCTTGGCCCTCACCCTCCTCTCTCTGGAAGCTATTGTTAGACGTGTGTGCAGACAGGACGATGCGGGGCTCTCCCTAGTCTCTGTCGTCCATGTGCAGCGCTGGAGATCCACAGGGGGTAAGTGGAGGAAAGTCCAGGCCACGCTGACTCAAGCAGGAAGGAACTGTCCACGTTGGGATGCGGAGCAGCCCGGAAGCAGAAGCGGCTTGTTGGCCAGTGTTTCTCGAGGGCATGTCCACCAGGTTGGGGAGAGGATTCTCAGTGGTGCAGACTCCCAAACACTGTGGGCTGGTCATCACGCCCAGCTGGTGGAAGTTCCTGATGGTGTGACCACATCCCCACCCCTGTCCCAGCCATCTGTCTTCAAAAGCTGCTGGCCGCATGCTGTTGGCGTCCTGGACCTTACCTGTGCTCACAGAAGCCTGCTCATCACAGACACCTGAGACTCTCCCCCTGGGGGCTTGCCACCTGAGGAAGCCACCCAGGCAAGCTAAAGTGCCAGTCTCCCTGGAGTCAGCTCCCAAGCTCGGACGGCGGTGGGTGGTCAGATGGCCGCCGCAGCGTCTGCACCCTTGGGTGGATCCCTCTCAGTGCGCAGTGTGCTCTGCACCACCTCCTGGAGTTTCCTGGCAGCCTGAGCCCCTGTGGCCCACATGGAAGCTGACTTGATGGCATGTGCACGCTAGCTTCCTACTGCTGCAGGGACAAACTGCCCCCTCCCGCTGGGTCACAGCAACACACGTTCCCTTCTGGGTCCGAGGGTCAGAAGTGGGCTGTGCTCACCATGCCCACAAGGGCCATCCTTTCCTGAGTCTCCAGAGGGGAACCGCTCCCTCATCTTCCAGAGGCTGCCTGCGTTCCTTGGCTCGGCCCCTTCCTCCATCTCCAGAGACCCCCGCAGGGCATCTTTGACATTTGCTGCCTCTGTCCTCCCTCTTGCTTTTTTTCTTTTTTGGTGTGGGGGGTGGGGGTTACCAGGGATTGAACTCAGGGACACTCCACCACTGAGCCACATCCCCAGCCCTATTTTGTACTTTATTTAGAGACAGGGTCTCACTGAGTTACTTAGGGCCTCACTGTTGCTGAGGCTGGTTTTGAACTCACGATCCTCCTGCCTCAGCCTCCTGAGCCGCTGGGATTACAGGCGTGCACTACCACATCCAGCTCCCTCTTGCATCTTTAGGGACTCCTTGACTACACTGGGCCGCTCTGAAGATCCAAGATACCCTCCCTTTCTTGAGGCCAGTGACCGGCAACCTTAATTCCACCTGCAGCATTGACACACGTCTGCCTTGCAAGCTGGCACGGTCGCAGCTTCTGGGAACTGGGACATAGACGTCCTGATGGGGCCTTGCTCTGCTGACCGCAGGACCCTTTGCTGATTTCATTCCCTTCTCTCTCACCACCTCGGTTCCCTATTGGTGTTTCCTGGGGTCATCTCCCTGAAGAGCTGTTGTCTGGAAGTCTCGTCCGTTGGGCAGAAACCTGAAGCAAGACACTG